GAACAAGGAAATGGCAGAGGAGTTAATACGTTGCATCAATGCTTATGGTGGAAGATACTTGGCATATCCCATTATGGAAGACACTCAACTAAAATAGATTTGTTTGCTGTGCGTCCATCATCTTTTGTAGATAGGTGGAGGTCAGCAATGATAAACTTTTATACTCTGACAGTTTATCTGCATGGGCCAGAGGCCTTCAGTGTTATGTAGACAATAGTACCTCCATCTCTTTCATTAATGTTGTTGAAATGCATGTATACTCTGAAAATGTACATTACACTCCATTTATTTAAGCCAGAGCTTTTCAAACTATTTTTCTACTGTGACTCCAATTTGAGGCCCATTGGTGAGAACAATGAGAGTGAGATGAGATGCTGTAAGAGCAAGGGCCTTTGAGAGTGGAAACTGTAGTAATTTGGTCAGAACTCTGCTGTGGCTATTGTTGCCTCTGAGGTTACAAGCTAAAATTCCATCTCCTGACCCTTCTTGGGTCTGGATCCCTACTTTAGGAAGCACTGATCTAAGCTGTATTTACCATTGGTTGAGTTAATTAATTAGAAAGCCATTTTTTTTAAACATTCATTGCACTCCTCCACTAGCTTAACCCATCTACAGATGTTGGTATCATTTGCAGACATGGGAAGATGCTGGTGTAGTGGTAATGCGCACCCAGACTAATGCTCTGTGAACTTGGGGTCAGATCTTACCATAGGAGCTGGTGGAATTTGAAACCAGTTAATAAAAATCTGGAATTGAAAGCTGGTGAAAGTTTCATGATCACCATTACAAACTTTAAATATGGTCAAAACTCATTTATTTACCATATGTCTTCTAGTGAAGGTCTGGTCTACATGTGTCTCCAGATCCATAGTAAAGTGGGTGACAGTTAATTGCCCGTTGAAATGTCTTAGCAAGCCACGCAGTTCAAGGGCTAGTAGAAATGGACCACAAATTCTGGCTTTGCCAGCAACAACCAGTCCCATGAAAGGACTAAAACAAAATCTTTCTCACTGTACTCCTAACTTCACTGTCCAGTTCATGAATAGGAACAGTGAAGAATAGACTGATTCCTGAGGGACACAACTAGTGAAGTTTCTCCAGGTTAAAACACATCTTGGCCACAGGGTTGGAGCCGATTCCTAATCCACAAATTCAAATTCAAATTCATGCTTGTACCACAAGATTCTATCTTATAACATAACTTAGTCTGAGGGACTTATCAAAGGCTTACTACAAGCCCAGGTTGACAATGTCTACCAGGTTTCTCCTATCCAAGGTTACAGTGAGAAAGACTATCAAATACAAACTTTTTTTAAAAGCCACATTGTTTATTTCTAATTGTTTCTTTCCTTTGCCATTAATAGCAAGGGTCATCTCATATGTGCTAGTTTCTCATGTAAGGGCGTTATCCCTGGCTGTACTGAATAATTACAGATGCAACAAAAGGCTCAGAAAGCAGCTGCCCTATGTGAAGGAGCTGTGGCAGCTAAAGTACATTCATCACGGTTCCTAATCAACAGTTTTATTTTAGCCAGATAGCCATTTTAGAAATGATCTGAGTTAAAGGATGTATGTTGACCAGGACACCATGGAGCATCTGCTGGCTGTTCTTCAAAAAAGTGGAATTTTTAGTTCCAGCTGAGAAGAGTGATGGGATTTTGGTTTAACCTGTCCAGTCAACAGATATAGTAGCAAATCCATAACAACCATATTTTCCTTTGATGTTGCTTGGTCCTTGCAGTCTGATCGTTTATATTTGGTCAAAAAGTTGGTGTTCTGGGGCCACCATCTACAACATGCTTGAAATGTGAAAACACCGGGTTACTTAATCCGGTTTTGTTCTGATCTATGACTCCAAACAGTTTTCCACAATGTGTGGAATGATTGCGGAACTGTTGGACGTTTCACTTACACCATTAGCATCATAATTAATTTACTCCTCATGGGAATTTTAACCAAGTGCCTTTTTATCTTGTTTTTCCTTTCTGAAGCTGGCAACAGCACAGCATGTCTTCTGCTGTCGAGACCACTTCAATATTATCTCCACAATCTTTGTCGAGATTCAGCAGTTCAAATCTTATTACCTAACCTTAAAATATTGTTTGTACTGATTTTCAAGAGCTGCATTAACTTCCCCTCATTCAGATTGTCTCCTCTCTGTGTGCAGTACACATGCACTCATGATTGATCAAGCAACATAAGGAAGTGCTAATTAATTTTTCTTAATAAATCTTGTAACTTCAAAAAGGATGCAACAAGATTAAAGGGTTTATCAGTGAACTCACATCTGATGTATATCCTCCTTGACTTTTTTTCAATATGTTAAAAAAAACATTTAAACTGTCCTGTGAGCAGTTGCCATTCCATTCAAAAACTGTTGTGTCAATATTTCAACATCCTCCACTGGTCACTGTTGTGGTGGTTGTGATTTGAACATAATAAATGAACAAGTTCTGGATATAATCAGCAGGTCTGGCAGCCTCCGTGCAGAGAAAAAGAAAATTACTATTTGAACTCAAGCTGTGCTGAGTCACTGAAACTTGCTTTTTGTTGTTCCTTGAATTCAAATAGTTACTTAATGTCCGGGTTGAAACATGAGCAAACTGAGTGGAATCTCGCAATTTTAATTTTTGTATGAATAGTAGATGACTTCAGCACCTGACCCCAGACCCATGAACTTTCTGGTTAAACTTTCTAATGGGGTCCAAATTAGAACCCTCCTTGGGAATAGTTGCCCAATTAGGTATGCTGAGCAGAAGGCGATCTTCCTAGTAGCTGCAAAGAGATTTGAGTGGTGGTAACCTGGTGGAGCCACATTTGACCAATGTGCAAGAGGGAATGGGGAAGATATATTATCTCCTTAAGTCATGGTGGTCTCAGGAAGAAATTACCAGCAATTTCCTTGCTAAGAACACTGTCATGTTACACTGTTCATTACTCCTCCAATTGTGCACTCTTCCTCTCCCATGTTTACTGCTTTTAGGCTCACTGTCTGCAACAAATGAGGAACAGAATTGATGTCTGATTGGAGGAGCAGTTGCTGGCAAAATCTTCAGTCATAGAGTCATAGAGATATACAACGCAGAAACAGACCCTTCAGTCCAACTTGTCCATGCTGACCAGATGTCCCAAATCAATGTAGTCCCATTTGCCAGCACTTGGCCCATATCCCTCTAAGCTCTTCACATTCGTATACCCATCCAGATGTCTTTTAAATGTTGTAATTGTACCACTTCCTCTAGCAGCTCACACGCACCACCCTTGGAATGAAAAAGTTGCCCCTTAGATCCCTTTTTAATCTTTTCCCTCTCACCTTAAACCTATGCCCTCTAGTTTTGGACTTCCCCACCCCAGGGGAAAGACCTTGTCTATTTACCCTGTCCATGCCCCTCATGATTTTATAAAACCTCTATAAGGTCACCCCTCAACCTCTGATGCTCCAGGGAAAATAGCCCCAGCCTATTCAGCCTTTCCCTTTAGCTCAAACTTTGGCAACATACTTGTAAATCTTTTCTGAATGCTTTCTAGTTTCACAACATCCTTCCTAAGGGAGGGAGACCAGAATTGCATGCAATACTCCAAAAGTGGCCTAACCAATGTCCTGTACAGCTGCAACATGATTTTCCAATGCCTATACTCAGTGCACTGACCAATACAGGCAAGCATACCAAACACCATCTTCACTATCCTATCTACCTGCCACTCAACTTTCAAGGAGCTATGAACCTGCACTCCAAGGTCTCTTTGTTCAGCAATACTCCCCAGGTCCTTACCATTAAGTGTTTAAGTCCTGCCCAGATTTGCCTTTCCAAAGTGCAGCACCTCACATTTATCTAAATTAAACCCCATCTGCCACTTCTCAGCCAATTGGCCCATTTTGGAATAGCAGCTCAGCAGTCTACTCAGTACATCTCGGAGGGCTGCATTGTTGCCTGCAGACTTCCTGCTGGTCAAGCCTGTTCTTGATTCTGCAAGTCTCCTCTCTGTTATTGGGAAATGGTCTGTGCAAGTATAAAATTTCTCTTGATTGCTTCCTCTAGTACTTCAATTGCCTCCTCGCTGTTATGTTTGTTGTTGGCAAGATTGCCAACCCACCCCTGATGTGTTCTCTTCTGACGGCACACTCCCCTTCCCCGTGTCTCCAAGGTATTGAAAACAGTAGCAGTAACACTAACCTCACAATGTTACAAAAAATTTTAAATATTGCATCTTATTTCTCTCGTGTCTTGGTCGAAATGAGTTACAGCACCCTGCATCAAAATGATTAAAAGTGTGTTCTGGATTTTAAAGAAATCACTATTGGTCTGGTTTCTTGCTTTGTAAGGCCCAATCGCATCATTGAGTAGAAATGTGAGTCGGGCATCCAGAAGGTGATTTTTGAGGCGGTAGCCAATGAAGTACTTGCCCTTGGCAGCCCCATCCAATGGAGAATGGGGAAGGGACAGTTCCCGAGAGGAGACGTCCAATAGGAATAACCCCTCAAGATGAAAGCATTCTCTGAAGAACTGTGGCAAATATTTAAAATCACAGACGGTCACAGCTGCTCGGCTCCCATTGTGGAGAGGGCATCCTCCTTGCAGGACTACCAGTGGTCACAGCTGTGACAGTAGTGGGTGGTTGAGTCTCTCACAGGATGAGTAAGTGCCAATCCCACTCCCCAACTCCTCTTTGTCTCCACCTTTACTAAACCCCAGCTTTCAGCTGCTGCCAGGGTCCACAGAACAACTGGAAACGTCCCATTGCAGTGTGTAGAGTGACCTTAATGAACCCCTTTAATTACCTGTCATTTACAGGTATGTAACTGTTGCCTCACATGTTCCCTCCCCAGTCTGCTCTCTGTCAAAATTGCGCAGAAGTGGGAGCATGGTGGGAGACTGGCAGTTGGATAGTGGCAAGAAATTGAGAGCCCATCTATCTTCACAACTGAATGAAAATTAACCGAAAATGTTATTAGATGCCACATAATAGCTCATTAATGTATTTTTGTTTTTCTGTTTTAGAGAATAAGTTTATGACATTGATTGAAGGAAGCACTCTTTTTTACTCATTTTCATCTCATCCTCCGCTCATGGAAGCTAGTCACCTCATCCCAGAAAACATGTTGATCGCTGGGTCAGAAACAGTTCCTGGGCTGGTTGTGCCTTCTAAACAGACAAGTAAGTCAAGGAAACTTTTGTACTCACTGGCTGCAGCTAACTGATGGAATCCATGATGAATTTAGATTTTATTTTATTTACACTCATGCATTGATTTGTGCTGTGCCTAAAACCAGGTACTTTGCTCATTGTTTGCTGATGTTGCAGCCTGAGCTCTTTACTCTGCAGTTTTTGATAGTGATAGTTTTGCCACTGCCTTTCAAGGTGAGGAGGCAAGTCCTGAGTCTATCTCAGCTGGAATGGAAATCAAATCCACGCTCTGTGTTTCTCTGAACTATGCCCTGGCCAATGACCCAGTCCCTTAAATTAAGTGTCTCCACTTCATTCTTGTAGGCCAAGATCTTTCACTCTTTCTGCGGCAGCTGTCACACCTTGGTCAAACTACAATAAAACCAAGCATTTATTTTCTATTGGTGGTAGATTTTGACGGATTGGCTGATGTTGACCTATTATGAAGAGCTGCTACTATCTCAGTTTGTCATCTTGGTGCACTGTCAGCCCGGGGTCAATCGGTTGATGTTGAAACCCCAGTCATAAGCACGTATTCCAGGCTGATATAACAGTTGATTACTCAGAGACTGACTCATTTATGGAAGTGCTGTCTTTCAAATGAAATTTTAAATTGATGTCTGTCTGTGTATTCAGGTGGGTGCACAGTATTTTGTGGCATTGCAGGAAGGAATTCTCTCAGTCTCCTGACAACAATTTTTCTGCAACCAAAAGCACCAAAGGTGATAACTGATTGTATATCTTGTTCTTTGTGAAATCTTGTCTCCAAATTAGTTGTCATGCTCTTCAGATCAACTTTATTGACAGTGAAGTACTTTACAGGATTCTGAGGATATACAGACACTACAGTAATGCAGTTTTTCCTTTGTTCCTTAATGATCAATGGAAAAGAAATTACTTTGAGGTAATGTGACTGTGACAGCTCTTGACATCAAGGCCACATTTGACGGAATGTGGCATCAAACGGAATGTGGCATCAAGGAACTGCGATCAATGAATAACGGGGCAAACTATCCCTGGCTGGCATTTAGGAGGATGGTTATGGTTGTTGGAGGTCAGTCATCTCAGCTGCAGGACATCTCAACAGGAGTTCCTCAGGCCTAGCTATCCTCAGCTGCTTCATCAGTAACCTTCCCTCCATCATAAGATCAAAAGTGGGGATGTTTGCTGATGCTTGTACAATGTTCAGCACCATTTGTGACTCCTCAGATACTGAAACAGTCCATATTGAAATGCAGCAAGATCTGGACAATATCCAGGCTTGGGCTGACCAGTAGGAAGTAACATTCAAGCCACACAAGTGTCAGGCAATGTGCTTTCCAGTATCTGATAATCTAATCACCGCTCCTTGACATTCATAGGTGTTACCATCACTAAATTCCCCGCTATCAACAACCTTGGGGTTACCATTGACCAGAAACTCAGCAGGACACAGAAACACAGTGGCTACAAGAGCAGATCAGAGGCTAGGAATACTGTAGTAACTTAACTTCTCATTCCCCAAAGCCTGTCCATTATCTACACAGCACAAATCAGGAGTGTGATGGAATATTCCCCACTTGCCTGGATGAGTGCAGCTCCAGCAACACTGAAGAAGATTGATACCATCCAGGACAATGCAGCCCGCTTGATTGGCATCACATCCACAAGCATTCACTCCCTTTGTCACTGATGCTCAATACTAGCAGTGTGTTCTATCTACAAGATGCACTACAGAAATTCACCAAAGATCCTCAGCCAGCACCTTCCATATGCACAATGGCTTCCAATGTGAAGAACAATTGAAGAAGATACATGTGAACACCACCGCCTACAAGGTGGTGTCCAAGCTCTTCACCATCCTATCTTGGAAATATATCACCGTTTCTTCACTGTCATTGAGTCAATATCCTGGAATTCCTTCCCTAACAGTATTGTGGGTAAACCCACAGCAGGTGGACTGCAGTACTTTGAGGTAGCTCACCATGACCTTCTCAAGGGCAACAAGGGATGGGCAATAAATGCTGGCCAGCCAGCAATCCCCATATCTCAAGAATGAATAACAAAAATTGTAGGAAATACAAGCTTACTGAACTCTCAGGGCCCAGTGTTTACTCCATCATGATTTGAGAAGATGGTGGTCCTTCAAAGTAATCATTCATCCAAGTTTCTATAACGTTATCATTATAAGGCTAATGGATGTTTATACTGGAGCAAAGGGACAAGCCCTACTTATTCTCCTTTCCCCTTGCAGTGTATCTGAGCTTAATAGGCTCTGGAAAACTATGCAGATGAAACTTTGCAGAAAGATAGTTGTCTTTTTATTGCAGAAAGTCTGAGTAGGCCCTTCTTTTGATTGTGTACTCCTTTAGCACCACTCTGTTGGTGAAATCTGGCCGCGGTGTTGGGGGTCTTATTACTTAACTGGAGACCTGGCAATTGAGCAGTGCTGCCCCTTCCAGGGAAGGCCACTGAACCACTCAGGCAATGGTGAGTGCCACCAGGGGCCTTACCCTGGAATCCAGACCCTCGGGTGGAAGACCAAGCCAGCGAAAACTGCTGCTCAGTATTGGCAAAGGCAAGGACAAGGACATGGCTGCTATTTGGACAGATCCCAGTGTTCCAGGAATGTGGAGGACCAGGGCAAAGGTGAGTGGTGTGGGGGTTGAGGGGAGTCTTTGTTTGAGGGTTGTACCAGAAGCAGCAAGGGTGTGGTCGGAACAACCAACAAGGGTGTAACTCCCAGATGGTATTCCCTCTTTTGGTGTCCACTACCTTAATCTGACACTAATAGCCTTGAAGGAAGGAAACCCCCTTTCCCCCCAAGCGAGTTGACAGATCGCCTCAGGGTAGCAGTTACCAAGAACACCACCTAGCAACAGACCTACCAATTAGGTTAATTAAAATGGGGGAATGGCTAAGGCTCTTAATTAGCCACTTAAGGGTCTCAATTGATGGTGAAGCAGGAAGGTTGACCATGGTCCTTCCTATCCTGAACTTATTCTTGTGAAGATGAGAAGGAGGCAGAGTTTGTGTACGCCAGCACCATGTCTAAATTATCTGTAATATCTACCTCTTTGTGGGATCAGAAGATTCCACCCTCTGTGTGCTTCTTCTACAACCCAACCCCCCTCTATGTGCTCCTTCTTAAGTAACCCTGATGTTTCTATGTATTTTAGTAATGTTGGCCTCCTCCCTGTCTGTTTATTTACCGCACCCGACAACCTGTAATAAAAAGAAGTGAGTCACATAAAGCAGAATGATAGCAGCAGGCTTAAGAAGGAGAGAGAGAAACAGAAGAGAAGGCAAAGAAAAGGATGAAGGAAATCAAATAGAAGGGAACAGGGTAGGGAAGAGTGAAAGTAACAGGGGAAGTAAATGGTGGAAGAAAGATGTACAGAGAAGGAAGGACAGAGAATAAAAAGGATGAGAAAGAAAAGTTGAGCAGGGACAATATGCAACTAATCCTTGTTTATGCCTCTCTGATTCTGGCAAACTTAAAAATGTTAATCTCTAAAATGAATAGGATGTTTGCCATGAGAAACTCAGGTGCACGCTGCATATTCTAAGTTATATCCTGGAATGCAGAGAGCTCTGACAGGCACAGGAATAATCATAACTGTCATGGTTATTCAAGCTTATCTCCAAACTATAGTGCCAAAAACAGTTATTAGGCCTTGACCATTCCTACATCTGTCCTATTCAAGTGATCAAATTGAACTCTATCACAGCTGCTGCTCAGTCATGAGGGATTCAAGTCTGCCAGACTAACTTTCTGTGAAGTGGCCATGTGTTTTAATGTCCTGAAAGTATATATATTTCTTCACTTGTACCAAGAACTACAGCTGAGAGTTTATGTTGAAGATCTGTATGGGAGCCTTGAGCAAAATTGCTGAACTGCTGTTTAGTTTGTAAATTTGATTACCTTTTGTTTGTGCTGTGTGTATTAGGTACTGTTTTGTATTTGAAATGTATTATCACAAACCATTTATTCATTTTATTTAAGAAAGTTGACTTAAAGCAACACAAGTTGATGATTTACAATAAAGTAAGATATGAGGGGATGAGGATGCAGCAGTTGACTGGTGGAAACATGCTCAGTTACATGTTCACTGGCAGCTTTTGTTGCCAATTTAAAGTCAGATTTTTCAATAAGTTTAATTTTTCACAGAATTGTTACAGTGTAGAATGAGGTCATCTGGCCCATTGTGCCTGCACCAGGTCCATTACCTAGTGCCAATCTCCTGGCTTTTCCCCACATCTCTGTATACCGTTTCTGTTCAAATAACTAACCGATGCCTTCTTGAATCTGCCTCCATTACACTGTCAGGCAGAGCATTCCATACCCTAACTATTCACTGTGTGAAATTGTTATTTCTCACATGCTAGCTTTTTTCTCCTCTTCAAATCTATCCAGCCCACTTATGATTTTGTAAACCTTTATCAAATCTCCTCTCAACCTTCTGCTGTCCAAGGAGAACAATCCCAACTTCTTCAATCCTCATAACTGAGGTTTCTTATTCCTGGAATCATTCATGTAAGTCGCTTCTTCACTGTCTCCAATGAAAACATATCTTTCCTTTAATGTGACACCCACAACTGTGACAGTATTCCAGCTGAGGTCTAACGAGAGTCTTATACAAGTTCAACATCATCTCCCTGCGTTATAGCTATACCCCTATTAATAAAGCCAAAAAAACCGAATGCTTTATAAACTGCTCGCTCCATCTTTCCTGCCATCTTCAGTGAATTGTGCAAATATATACCTAGGTCCCTGTTTTTGCTGCTGTAAACATTGTGGAGCAAGAAAATGTAATTAGTATTCCTTCTTTTCTGTCAAAATAACAAATGAAATGGGAATGAATCATCCAAGGGATTGAAGATAAGTCAGAAGTCTACAAAGTTCCTTCCTTGTATGCACGCTGTCTGAACTCATTCTCGTTGCTGTTGCTATGGTTCTCTTCCTTGCTATTACCTCCATTTCCTATGAGCCTGCCTTGAGTTGTGTTGTC